GGGGGGGTGAGACCACGATACAGGCTGCGACATACCAAAGCAGAAGAGCAACGAGATGCTATCGTGGTTGAGTCAAGATATCATCGAAATAGGAGGAACGAAGGCACCGAAGGAGGGACGCGACTCGTCTAGCTTCCGAACCTAGCGCGACACGGTTGGAGCTATGTCTCCGTCATCCCACGTGTATCGATGGCTCGGCGGGGGAGTAGAGGGGATTCGCGTGCGGGAAGTAAACGTCGTTGGTCGCGTACGAGATGAAAGGAGAATATAATATCGCCGGATTGGCAGACTCGGGAGAATAAAGGGTGTTCGACAGGAAAGAAGGTGGGCGATTATATTCGTCGTCGTTGCGTCGGTCGCGGAAGGGGGGGCATTGAATCAGAAAGGAAAGACAAGCTAAAGAGTGTGTGTTGCTGTGTCAGCCACAATAGCCGGCCGTGGTTTCGGTCTAAGACGATCAAGAGAGAGAGAGAGAGAGAGAGACAATATGCGCGAGAGGGCGCGCGCGCGCACGAACAGAGGAGGAGGGGGGGGGAGGAGTCAAATCTCACAATCTACTCTCAAAAAAGAAGCGCCAGGCAACGAGGTCGAAGGGGAGAGGGAGAGAGAGAGAAGAGGTCGGTCGAGAGACAGGGGGAGGGGCGTGCAGCAAGAAAAGAAATAGAAAAAAAATATTGAAGAATTATGAAGGGGGAAAAAAAGGACACCCCAAGGATTTACAGAATAAAGTGAAAATCAAAGGGAGGTTGTCCGAAAGGATAGACAACTCGTGCCACGGACAAGAGTTGAACAGTGAAAAAAGGAAAAGAAATTGAAAGAAAAAAAGAAGGAAGGACAAGCCTCGACACACGAAAATATGTCCCAATATGGCAGAAGGTAGTAGTAATACCTGTAAGACTCGTAGAGAGAAACAAGAGGGAGCAGGAGCAGAGCATATAGAGAGGAAGGAGCGATGGGTGTGGGGGATCAATTAGGGGGGTGAGAGGCAGGAGCGACTGGGAGATGGCCATTGACCACTACGAGGAGAGAGAGAGAGAGAGAGAGAGAAGAGCACGATGTAATACGACGTATGATAGTACAATGGATAATACAACCAAAAGGGTCAATTCAGTTGAAAGGATCTTAATAATAATGATGAAGATGATAATAATACTACTACTAATAATAATAATAATGACAATAATAATAATAATAAGAAGAACATACGAGTAGACTTATACTCTACTATTTTAGTGCATATTATCATTATGCTGCTAACAACTATGATTACTCCGTATATTCTGCTGGAATGATAAATGCGGAGTGCGGATACCCTCGTCATCATCATCCTCGCGTCCGTACTCGGTTATCCGTCGGGGAGGGAAGAGGACTAGGTAGAGATGGAGAGAGAGGAGAGAGGGAGAGAGAGACACACACACACACACAGAGAGAGAGAGAGAGACAGAGAGAGAGAGAGAGAGAGACAGAGAGAGAGAGAGAGAGAGAGAGAGACACACACACACACACAGAGAGAGAGAGAGAGACAGAGAGAGAGAGAGAGAGAGACAGAGAGAGAGAGAGAGAGAGAGAGAGAGAGAGAGAGAAAGAGAGGAGAGAGAGAGAGAGAGAGACCAGACCACCCCTCTGGATCCCTGCAACCGAGACCCTCCCCCCTGGGCCCTGATGTTCTGTAGTCTGCACTGCACGGCTACGTTACAGAGCAGTATGCATATAGTAGGACTTGCAGTATCATCAATAGTACTGCGTATCAATACAGTGTACTCCGTACGGCAAGCATGCGCTTCGTGTCGACGCAAAATGATGAGGCTCGATTGAGTAAGACCCTGGTCCGTCGAACCCCTGTGCCGTGTTTGAGGACCGGGGAGTAGGGAGGCTTACCACTGGTGAGGAATTCGAGGCTGGGAACACGCTGTCAGCTCCCAGCGTGGGGGGGGGGGGAGGGTGTCGACTCCGGAAAGTCGACGATTTGTCAATGCGTGGGAATAACCCAGCCGAATCAGGGTAGAAGAGAGAAAGGAAAAGGAAGGAGGAGAAGAAGAAGAAGAAAGACAGCTTTGTGTGCACTAGAGAGTCGGGACCGAATAGCTTCTCTACCGAGGAATGCGGCACGGACGGTTAGAGGGTGGAGGCAAAAATGTCTTGGGACGCCACGCGGGTTTCTGGGCACGTTCATAGGCGTACGCCGCATAGAGATTCAAAATACACACACACACACACACACACACACACACACATATATATATTATATATATATATATATTATATATATATAAATATTGCTCCGTACAGTTTTCGACGGTACGCTGTACCCGTGAGACGTCCGAGTGCAGCTGCTCGTGCTCATATACATATATCACTTACCCATCACACAGTCGTACGTTGGTACAGATTAGCGGTAACAGTGCCCGCAACCTTACATACGAGTACGAGTATACGGTCGGATTCAGCACAGCCGTGACCATGACGAGTACAGGTACGGATTGCGCTGGGTACATGGCCGTACCGTCGCAGTACCCATCTACACGTATCTTTTTCGGACAGAGAGGTACACGCCGCAGCGTCAACTATCAAGTGATAGGCACCGACGGGGGACCTCCGCCAGGCGGCTGACCTCTTGTGGCGGGGAGATGAGACAGGTCTGTTAGTTCCGGTCTAGCGGTTGACTCGGGGACTACTAGAGCCTTGGTGGCACGATTAGTTCGAGTCCGTTCCAGCCCCTGGATATTACATGTAATATACGTGCGTGTGCGTATCTATCTGTACGGGCGAGTACTCGTGGTTCCTGCCCTGCATCTGGTGATGAATACGACGTACACGCATGTAATCTGTATGTGCATGCATATAATAATCTGCAGTCCGTACAGTCTTTCATGTCCTCTTTTCTCTCTCCCTCCCTCTCTTCTCCTCTCTCTTCTCTTCCCCTCTCCTCTCTTCTCTTCGGCTTCATACGATTCGGCATCGGTATATGAGCAGAATCCGTCCATCATCTTCCATCACTCACTCAGGGGCTAGCCACAACGTGTAATACGTGTCGCAGATGCACCCGAGGAATGTGCCCAGACAATGGCATATATATCAACCGCCGATGATATACCGTCGACAATTCCCCTCGCATCAGATTCGTAGCTGTACAGATTACAGATTACACATGTACAGGCACTAAGTGAATACTCGTATCCAGACGCACGGTAATACTATGCTCCCAGCCGTACTAACGACGCGGCCCCGGTGAAGAGAGACGGCCTCTTGTCCCCGATCCCTGGGTCTCGCAATTTCCCCTTTTCTCTCTCTCTCTCTCTCTGTCTCTCTTGTATCCTTCTCATCTTCCTCTTTTACATGTAATCTGGTACACCGATCAATTCACCGAGTGACATTCGCTCCCTCGCCTTGACCTGATCTCCTCTTAATACTTTGGGCACGCTGTGTTATATATCCCTCCCTCTCCCCTCAATGCTTCGTGCTGTCTGCATGAACCATCATGACCAGGTTCAACAGACCACTCCCTGACCGATCCAAGTATGCAGCAGACATGGAGCTCTTACACATGCCACATGCATGCGCGGCCGATGCAGGCACACTCCTCCTATTTTCCCTTTCTCTCTCTCTCTCTCTCTCTCTCTCTCTCTCTCTCTTGCCTCCCCCCTGCTGATCCTGGCTGCCCCCCCCCCCCCACCCTGGTTCTATGCCCCAGATTAAATCATCCTGAAATCTCTTTTTTTTTTTTCCCTCTCTTTCCTTTAGTACTCTTCGTATACAGAATGGCGCATATTACCAAGAATGATCGATGTGATGGGAATAATATACACGTGCATGCAGAGCGGAAACGAGGGTTCTCGTTTTCCCTCTCTCCATTCATACTCGTAATATAGTAAGACGGAGAGCCGACCTGCATATGCTATTGCATAGCTGGTGTTATCAGCTTACCCAGATGGAGCACGAGTATGCACCCCAGATCACACATGCGTCTCCCAACATGGCAGATGGCGGTCTCATCCCTCTCGCAAGAAATCTACCCCGTCCGTCTGCCTTGTCGGACTTCTGGGTACCTTTGCCTTTGCACCGTTGACGGACTCGAGGTGGTACGATTGCATGTATGGCATGCATTATTCCGTAGATGAATGGTCGCTGCCGATATCGTTCGTGGGCTCGCAGCGCTTGTCAATATACGAGTAGTGATAGACCAGACGGCCTTTCCCTCTCTGTCGTTCCAACGGGTAAGACGCGTGGCACGAGCACCCGCGTGCACGGATACCTACCTACCTACCTACCCCCCGGGCTCGATATGACATGTTACGGCGTTAAGCGTGCGGGTAATACAGACCACATGTGGCAACGGACATCTCGAGCAGAGTGGGAGGCAGACGAGACTGCTTGCAACGATCAATAATAGCATGTCGTATTTACCCGCGCGCAAGTTGGGCTGAACGCTACGACGTATCGTATGTAAGGCGTGTTTTACTCCATACGGAGTCGATTATTACCAATCTCTTGTCCCCTCCCTCTCCCTCTCCCCTCTCCCCTCTCCCCTCTCCATACCCAAGCAGTCGGCGCACATGTTGGATTATTCGTGATAGTGCGCCCGCGTACCAGGGGGGAGGCTTTGCAGCGTAGCACCGTCCAGGGCCGCCGCGAAGCTAGCTGCTCGTATGTCAGAATTCCTACTTCACCCCGTCTGTCCGTCCGAAGCTGCTCCTGCAATCCACATATTCATCACCAACAGAGGGAGGAGCGGAATGATGTACGTCGTAATCTACTCGTACTCGGGGAGGAGGAGGGTAGGCTCGTCGTAATTTCGCGCGTCTGCATTGGTGCATCCCGTCGTGGTCTGATTAGTAATGTAATGTCGGAGGAATAATATACTCGTATGTACTCGTACTCGTGGTATCCATTAATCTGTACAGATTACAGGTAACCGGATTGTATGAACCCGTCCACCTATGTTTGCTTCTTTTCGGGTTTTCGTTTTTTGTTTTTTTTTTCGGTTCCATCGCAGTTTTACTCTTCTTTCATCCTTGAACCTTTCAGCCTTTTTGACGTGTTTCAAATATCCGCGAAATGAGGGGACAGCAACGAACCCGCAGCTTGTTGCTGAAAGCTGTGGGGGCCATCCCAACTAAACTCTTCTGCCGCACATTAGGGGGGGGGGACCGTATGGAGGAGTTGTTACTGTCGAGGATGGATATGTTATTTCAGCATGATTGCTCATTGCCTACTCGTACCCTACCCTCCGCACTGCACCGTAGCAGGGTCGGTGGAGAGGGAGAGAAGGGGAGAGAGGGAGGAGCTCGGACCGAAACGAAACGAAACGAAACACTGCTGGCTTTGAATCTGAGCTTGTTGAGATGGGTTTTTGTTTTTGTTTTTTTTTTTCTTTCTTCCTCAATTCAAGTCCCACTATTACCACCGTAACTGTTACGGTCCCTCCGTGACGGTGGGCCTATTCTGTCGACCACTCCGGACACGATCAATCTCATAGTTTTTTTTTTTCTCGTTCTTTGTCTCGTTTCGTTCCCTACAATCTGTCTCGTGGCTCTCTTCTTGCTTCTTTCGCCCAGGCCCTTGTACGACATCTTATGTTGGATAGAAGACGGTAAGAGTTGGGGAGTCAACATGTTTGCTGCCAGCCAACCCCGAGTCCATGAAGAGCAAAAGCTCCGAAAGATGAAGGGGGGGGTTTTACTTTATCAAGGCCCGGGGGAACATCCGGAAGGGACATGTAGCTACAGGTCAATCCTGCTTAAGCGCCAGGGACCACATGGCTCAGAGCCTGCGCATGCAACAGACATCACATCAAGGCCCCCAGAATGTATGTGAGCCGCACGACGTGGGATGGGGAGAGAGAGAGAGAGAGAGGTGGGTTAGGAGCGGAGGCAGGAGATGCTCATTGTTCTTCTCTTTCTTTTTTCCGTCTCATTCTTTTTTCCGTCTCATTCTTTTTTCCGTCTCATTCTTCTCTTCTGTATAGTTCCTACATATCACTTATGCGAAAAGGAGAACGGGATGCAAACGACATACATGAGTTATAACATGCACATGCAAAGCCCAGACCTCCAGGTCACACCCGTTGCCCCCCTCCCCCCTCCCCCCATGGGATCGTCACAGTGCGAATTGAACCACGCCACGAATATACACGAGTGCCGAGATCGTTACAGCTTGAGATATATTCCAAAAGAGGAAAGGAAATCTCCCCGTCACACGTATACACACGACCGTCGCTGTGACCACGGAATGCTGGTTTTGATCATCATGGTCAATGTCAGACCAGAATGCATCATTCTGCTCGGTCTGACCCGCGGATTTCGCAAAAATCTACTCGAGCTTACCCTGTACCTCGACACTCACACTCGTGGGCGAGATGGAGCTGGGGGGCTCAAGTCTGTCTTGGAACGATGGCGAGCAAGAGTCTCGAGCTTTTTTTTCTTTGGACGCGGTCTCGTTCTGTTGAGCGGAGTATGATCAATGATGATATCTGCAAGATGGTGTCCTTCGCCAATCTGGCATGATGTTGCCGTCGGTATCACATGACGCTCGTACCAAAGGGCATAGATGACATGCACACACGCATCTCCCCGCTTTCAACCCATCTGACACGTACACAGCTTGCGTGGTCAGGAGTCGCAGCTTGAATCCAAGCACCGATCCGACGCCGACTGCAAGACATCGGAAGGAAGAGGCACAACTCCGACTCCGAGCAGCAAAGACCATGTCCCCCGGCAGACTATCCCCCCTAGCCGACGTCAAGGCCCTCGCATTCGACGTCTTCGGCACCGTGGTGGACTGGCGGTCATCCGTGACGGACGAGCTGTGCGTCCGCGCCCACCGCAAGCTCACACGCTCGTCGTCCTCGTCGGAGACGCCCCTGCCGGCCTCTGCGAAGAGCCGTCTGGAATCCGTGGGGGAAGATGGTTGGGGCCGGTTCGCGCAGGAGTGGCGCGACTCGTACGGCCGGTTCACGCGGGGCTTCGACCCGTCGACGGACCCATGGAAGACGATAGACGAGCACCATCACGACAGCCTCGTGTCGCTCCTGGCGGGGTGGGGTCTGGCAGACCTGTACACGCCGTCCGAGACGGAGTCTCTCAGCCTGGTGTGGCACCGTCTCCGGCCGTGGGCGGACTCGGCTCCGGGACTGGACGCCCTGGCTCGGTGCCGCGGCGGCGACGAGGCACTCACCCTCTCCACACTATCCAACGGGAACACATCGCTCCTCAATGACCTAGCCGACTTTGGCGACCTACCCTTTCACAGGATCCTGTCGGCCGAGACGTTCCGCGCTTACAAGCCCGATCCGGCCGTGTATCTGGGCGCGGCGCGCGAGCTGGGCCTCCGGCCTGGACAGGTGGCCATGGTGGCCGCGCACCTCAACGATCTCGAGGCCGCGAGGGGCTGCGGGCTGCGTACCGTGTATGTCGAGAGGCCGCAGGAGGAGGCCTGGTCCGAGGACGACGAGAGGTATCGCGATGCCAGGGGGTGGGTCGATCTATGGGTTGGTGAGGGGGAGGGCGGGTTCGAGGAGCTTGCCCGACGGCTGTCGCGGGGGGGTTGACGGCTTGGCTGACGAAGAGGGGAGCGCATGTAGTAGTATCGATCGAACGACGTGGTCAGATGAACGAGGGGGAATGCCCTGAACGAACCCTTCTCTTGACTCTGACATGAGAGACGTGTAAACTACGACGTAAACCCCCCCTCCTCCCCCCATCCCTTTTTCTTTCGGAGGCGTCTTTCATTTATCTATTTTAATATTTCATTTTTTTTCTCTCAACGTCGTGCATTGCATGAGCGTATTGTATTGCATGACGTATTACCCATCTCACACCGGGCCTTATCGTGGCTGCGGATTCGAACATGTTTGCTTCATCTCTCCGATAGCCTCGCATACAGTCCCTTCCCTCCCCTCCCCATCGCACACTCATCACCACAATGTACGTCGTCGTTGCTCCAAGTACGTACAGCTCGTATGCGTGCCATCGGTTCAGAGCCAAGATGAGGTTACTCGTACAAGCAAGTAGTATCCGGGGCAGGTTTCTTGCCACTTCCAACGGCCGTCACCCAACGTGCCATACGTGGGAATCCTCGCCACAAGCAACCGTGTAACTGTCGATATCAGTAGAACGCCTTCACGGTCCGGTCACTCTCCATTCGAGGTCTTGCCTCCTACGCGGGGCCGGAGCCGCCTCCCACAAAGGGAAAGCACCCCTCCCTTCTATCTCTCCCCCCCC